GATCTGTTCTTTCAAGATGAGATAATATGAAAGTATGCAGCGACGTGTAGATCCAATTCATCGACCTATGATTCAGCTTTCTGGATTATAACTATTAAGTAGTCAGAACATACAAGCGTTGTTAAAAACACTAAATATAGAAAGAAAAATATTGTGTGTCACCTGCTTGGCCTTTATATTCACGTGCATTTATTAGATCCATAAAATTAAATGCATACTTTTTAAAAATGCTCAATATTTCATATATTTTTTATGAAAATGCCAGAATTAAATTACGATATTTATTGATAATTAAAAATTTGATATGAAAAATTATGTAGAATATAATGGAAAATTCGATTGATGTATAATTAAAAAAAATTGTCTAAAAAGAAAAAAAAATGCTAAGAAAACATTCAGTTATTTCTCTAAACATTTTGTTTGAAAGCATTTTTGTGTAATATTTGGAACTTTTTTGCAGGAGAAATAAATGTTATTTTTGAAGGGATTAAATAATGTGGAAAAGAGAGGAAAACAACAAGTTTTCTGCATTAAAATTTTGATCTGAATCAAGTTTGGTGTAAAAGGCATTTCTAGTTGTGCAATCAAATATTATTTTTGAAAATTATTGTAGGCAGATGCTGATGTAAGCTGTTGCTTAATATTGAAGCAGGAGAAAAACATTATGTTAATTTTGTAATTGTGTGCCATTGTGGTCTGCTGTTGGGATGTATTTGTGCAATATAATTTTGAAATTTATTATTCATGTTGGTCTACACGTACTTTCATAGTTTGTGGTAACTTACTAATTTTTCTTTTATTGTCAAGGAGTGTGTTGCCAAAAAGCTCTTTGATAATGTTTGGATTTATTAAGATTTAAGTAATATGTAGGGAGAGAAAGAGTAAGAATGGAAGGTTTAATGTGTATGCTGGAATATTTATAAGAATCTAGAAGGGTTTTAGTATTTTTTTCTCTTTTGATATCAATTTTTTGTGTATTATGTATTTATTGGTATTTGGGAAAGTAGCCTTTGAATATATGTATTGCATTCTGTACGAATGTTATGCAGGGGTTAATTAATTTTTAATACCGGAGAATTAAAAGAATATTTTAATTAGGAGAAGGTCAAAATGTAATTCAGGAAGCGAAAATTGAAAGTAATCAAAATTTACATTTTTTGTAATAGGTTCATAGAGGTTTGTAATAGGTTCCTGGAGTCACGGGTTGGTTCGAAGGTACCATATATGACTGAATTATTTTGAATGATATATTGGTTGTAAATAAATTCCTTGATGATTTCATGAGTTGCATCCTTAAAAAGTCTTTTTGCTGTTGAAAACTCCCAAGAGTATCATTGGATTAGAACATTGAAAAATGAGATTAAAAATTTGAGTAGGAAAGGGTTTGTTTTGGGGTTTATTAATTAAATTAAGTAGCACCTCTTACTCTCTATATTCTATTTATAAAGCTACACGTACTTAAAATATTAGATATAGAAAAAATATTTGTTGACAAAATAAAGACTACAGTATTAATTTATTTTTATTATTATTATTATTATTATTATTATTATTATTATATTATTATTATTATTATTATTATTATATTAATATTATTATTATTTATTATTTATTGCTTACTCTGCAGATGCATGGTCAAGAATTTCTATAAATGTTATAATCTTTAAAATACAGTTTTTCTTAGAGATTTGATGTGTTTCAGAAATACATACCATGTCAGCATTATGAAATGAGAAACAGAAATGAAATATATAGTGTTGACATTTTAGACCATTAGAATTCCATTTTATTAGTGTAATAGTATTTGTATTTGTATTAATAGACAATAAAATGAGGAGGAAGGATGTTTTGTAATAAAGTCAGAACTTGTGGGATAATTGTAGAAATATTTTGAACAACGTCATGATGTTTAATTTGAAGTAGAGGAATCTTGTTCTAATATTTCAGAGTATGGGAATCTAATTTATGTGTGATTATATGTTGGAGAAGTTGTAGTACTTGTATTTGAAAAGAGATTTTGAATAGTATTGCTTTATTGAAAGGGTTGTGTGAAGGACAATGCACATTTTTATTTATTAATGTACATTTTCCCAAACTTTTGTGTGTGTATTTTTTTATTTCTTTTTTATTTTCAAGAACATTATTAGTTGTATGTTACTATTTGCTCAAATATTTTTGTTCTTGTAAAAAATGCCTTTTTACTGAACTTATCATGAACTGAACATTAGATTCTGTATTAATTTTTTCTTTGTTGCAGGATTGCAGTGTTTAATGGAATATTTTCCATTCTTTAAAATTGGAATTATTTATGTATTATCAATATTGCAATGTTCTACATCATCATTACTTTAACATATTTTTCTGTATGCTTGCATGCATGCTAAAAATTGGCCCTCCATCATTAATCTGATTAGGAGGATTATTCTATCAATATAAGTAAACTAACATAACAATTATGTGTAGAGCGTTAGAAATTTCTAATGGTTATTTTTAATGATAATTTTTAGAAAATCCTTTTTATGATGAATTAAATATTTTATTTATTTTGGGAGCATAGTTATTCCTTGGTTTCCCTGGTTTTGCCCAACCCCTTGTAATAAATGCAGGAATGAAATGTACATTTGTAAGCCCAGGCACTAAAACTCTTGTAAAAAGTCTATTGTAAATGTGAAGATATTTGTTATGGACTATTGTTTTAGAAATTTTAGTGACTGCCCATGTCATTTATTATTAGAATCTAACTCACCTCTGGTGCATAAGTTTATCCTTTACTATACCGTTTAGATAAATAAATTCTATTATCCGGTTCTGTCAATTTCACAAAATTTTAAACGTGTACAATTAATAAGTTCATTCCTTTGATATGTTTTTATCACAGTCGTGTGTTGACGTTATATGTATTAAATCATTATAATATAGATATTTGTAATTCAGTAAAGTAGAATTTTATTTCATTACACTCTGTATTGCTTGCAAATCAAAATTATTTTGAGCCTTGAATTTAATTTCATCTTTATTCCATAAATAAAGCATGGAATGGATGGATGTTTGTAGCATGTATATTAGTTTTATTATAAGTACGTTTCTACTATTGTATGTATTCTTCAGTTTAAACAAGCTTATGGAAATTGTGAAAATTTCATCTTCATGTGTAAATTATAAATTAAATTATGTTACCGTGTACCTGTTGCGTTTTATAAGTCATTAAACAACAGATAATATAATTTCAACAAGTATACATTTTTGAAGGACACTACGTACAATTGAACTCACCGCGTCGGTTTTACTCGCGCAACTTTTCTTGAATGATAGATTGACGAAATTCGGATGGAGTTGGTTACTAGTTACAAAGTCGGCCACTAGAATATTTTAATTAATGCCAACGTGTGCGAAATGAAAGTCAAACCTTCATTTTGTGCATCCGGGTCATTGCTCTGGGGAGGTTACAGCATGGTATTTAAGCAGTCAGCTTGTGTACATCTTCGCTAATTTTGACAATCATTTTTGTGGAAATTACCCAGAACTCACCACGTTGACGTGTCTACACATCGAGCTCACCACTTGCCCTCCCAAGCACCCTACCTTTTGAGAGCAAGTAAGTCATAATCGATGTTTTTAATGTTACATCCGGATTTGATGTAATCAGGTATTGGTCAGATTAATCAGAACATAAGAGTTTTCTGATGAACGTGAATCTTCATTCTCATCAATGGACCGTGAAGAGATGTTAATAATAATTTCATCAATGGAAATTTCTAGAATACCATTCTTGATCAAATATTCTACCTCAAGGTTTTGTACATGTTTACAATAACCCTCCCAGTCTGATGGTGATACTTGTGCAAAAGCTGATTTAGTGAGCTTAAGCAAATTTTCTGTCGACATGTCTCCTGAAATGTTCTGCTCTGTAATGTAATCTGAATATTTCTTAATTATGCAAAAGTCCTTAGGTGAAGTGCAGTGTTGTGCAGTATCATCCCTCGAGTTTGTGTTCCTCTCCCTTGGAACCTAAAATCCGTCGCCGGCCTACACGTCTGCTTGCAGGGTTTTCCTTCTCCAGGTAACTCCAACAGCAGGTACCGCACAACCTAGAAGTACTCTTAAGCTCCCAAGTGTGTGGTAGTGTAGTAAATAAAAGTGTGTGAATATACACGTGTTTAGGAGGGGCAAATGAAAGAAAGATTTTGAGAAATGACATTTTTTTTACTTTTTAAAACAAAATCCTTTATCACATCTGGTACGTCAGACCAACAGTTCGCACGCAATGGTGGCTGGGATGTTTCATTCTTGCAACTTTTGGAAACTGCCTAAAATTTTTAAAAAATTTATTTCGTAATTGGAGCTTGGTTCAAGCCTGTGTTCGTAGGCTTCCGCTGCTGGAGTCAGATGATTCTTGGTTGTCCGGGGTGAGCCGCGGTTCAGTCGATTGAGCTGACGTATCGGCCACCGTGATGTGGCCGTCTTCTGAGCTATACTGCTGCCTTAAGTTTGAGCAGTATAGCTCTGGAGTCCCATTCTCTCCAAATCCCTAGCCGAGCCATAGAACAATTTCTCACCTTAAGCCTCAGCTGAGTTCAAGAGTGAAGGATAGGAGTCTATAATAGATACAAAGACTGAAGAATGGTTGTGTATAATAAAAAAAGCATCCAAGTCATTTGCATACCAATTTATTGAATATTTTCAGAACATTGAAGTAAATAGATTGGATCAATATTCCATTCTGTGGAAATATGTAATTTGAAAACGCATAGAGGATCGAGTACATAAAAATGCATTAAGCTATAATGTGCTGCCTACAGATGTCACTATTTAAAGGAAATGTAACACACAACGTATACAGTATAATGTAAGTATGAAGTTCTTGTGAGATACAATATCTCCAGTGCTGAGAATGTGGAGGATTAAAATGAAATATTAGGAGAAACAAGACAAAGGGAAGGACTGCAATTTCTCATTACATATTTATTGTAGTGTAAGAAGTTTAGAAAATACAGAGTGATTATACATGACACTGGAATATGGCTCCAAGAATTGCTTCTTTTTATTCTCATAATTTTGAGTGATATTTTTTAGTAGAAGAGAATGTAAGAACTGTTGCTTGTGGAAATTCCACAGGTTTTCCAGGAGCAATTCCAACTTCTTTAATCAACTGAAAATGTAATGAAAAATGAATATTATGAAATAGCTGTAATTATCATGAAATCAAAATGTATTGAATAAATTATAATTCTGTAAACAACAACAACGTTAATAACGAAAGGAAATAGCGATACTTCACATTTCACAATTTAAGAATAATGAAAACGTATACTAGTGCAACTCAAATAGTTATATATGTTTGCGTATTCCACAGATGAAGGAGAAAATAATTGGAAATCACCTATTAATTGCGTGAGTAGGAAAATAATTACCTTTTCAAGTTCAGAGAGAGAAATTTTAGCCGTGCATTTTCCCAGATGCTCGGAATCGTACTTTCCACACACCAGACACCACATCTTTCCGTTCTTCTGAAGAGTGTGGGTATTTGGTGTATTCTTAGTAAATATTATTTTGTGCGCGTGAGGATTACCAGAGGTCGACATTTTGCCTCCGGATCTTCAACGACGACTGCCAAGAAGCGGCTTGACCCAACACAAGCGAGACGGCTACTGCGCTTCTGCTACTAGGGAGGGAGACTTCACTTCAAGTTGCCAAGCACTTTTTACTGCCAACAGTACAATGCTGCCACAAATGTTCCAGAATTTAGTGGTGCCGGAAAAATTCAACAAATATTTCTGTAGTTTATCGTAATAAATAACCACTCTAGCAATATAATGTATGATTGTTTTTTCTCTTAAACTTTACCATTTTCTTCTAAAACCGTGCATTATTTTGTTTGAGAATAATGAACACTTTTGCCAAAATTTACCACACCCTTCTAGACTAAAGGTACAGGGAATGTATAGAGGAAGGGAATTTTCACGAATTTTCTAATCGTGAAAAATAAGTGTGTGTACAACAGACAAAAATTACATTTAAAATATAATACTAATTCACTTAAGGTGAACATCAAGAATTGTGCGTATATCTCGACACATTATTTTCGCTCTTGAATATAATCATGAATTGCTGTAACTGGATGATTTTTAAACTTCTTAAATTCTGTTAGGAGTTCGCAAACTATTAAAAATCATAAATTACTAATATTAAGATAATAATTATTATAAAACGAATTGCTGTTACATTATTATCTAAACTCGTGGTTTCATTTTGTTCTATTTTTATGAAATTGAAATTCCCCGCTGTGTTCGTTACTTAGAAATTGTAACGAATCAAGTTTGGTCACAAATGGTTGTCATGTCCAGTCTGGTCATCATTCATTCTTGTCAGATAGGACTACTTGCTCTTGGATCAGTATGCCTCACAAGCTTTCTTGTGTATTACCACGGCCCCCGATCACTTTGACAGATTTGGGAAACAACTGAACATAATGCAGAACAATGACATTGCAAAAGACAGAGATGAATCCTTTTACAAATGATACAACTGTAAACAAAGTCACTAACAAAATGACTGCTTGGATAAATTATGTTGCCAGCAGTGGCTAAGAGGGCCCTTGTTATAGTAATCTCTCTATTCCAGAACTAAAGATGTTTGGTATGATCCAACAATTACCTGCTGCGACCGGGTTTGCGAGACTTGAATAGCGCTGCATTTTCAACTTGGGGAGTACAAAAGGAAAATGTAACGGAAAATGCGTGTTTGTAATAAAACATGACAGTGTTTTCAATGAAAAATGGAAGAATGTGAAATTCAACAAAGCTGACCCCTAACAGTCACCTTCTGGTACTATTGTAGAAGGATGCCGTATTTGGATGGAAAATTGGCGACGACTTCCTAGATTAAAAAGCACTTTGCGGGAATGCGCTCAAAGGGCAAAATTCCCTCTTCCCGGTAAACATTTAGGTGATGCAAAACGTGTTTCATTTTGCTTAAATCTTCAATAATACCCACATTTTTCTAAAAATTGTGCAAATATTGATGTCTTGGTACCGCGACAATAAAATTGAAAATTCGAGTAAAAAGTTGGGAAATATTTAGCCAAATAGGATAAAGTTGTTGATTAACAAGAAAGGCACGTAAACTAACAGTAAATATTAAATGTATGACCATAACATGTACACGAATGTAAACGTGTAATTAATGCAAATCTTTTACGAAAAATATCTGTAATTTAATAATTTGAACACTTGCAACCTTATTATTGTATTTATCCGTTTCAGAATTGACAATCAGAGGGTCGTTGTAAATGTTGAACTAGTTCTTCAGGAAATTTACTTTGCCTTATCAAGTACAGAACGCAAGTACAGAAAATGTTCAATTTGTCTATGCCTTTCCTACAGCCCTAATCAAAGAACTAAAATATTTTACTACTTCTTCTTACAGAAATAATATAAATAGTAATATATACTACTTTCTACAGACAATTATTGTATAATATTGGTAGATATAGGTAGCATTAGTGCTTAAATATATGAAATTCGCGTAAATTATTTTGTGAATCATTCTTAGATAGAGGGATAAATCTCTTAAATGATGTTTTCCGGGCACCTAAAAGGCAATTGTGTAATTAATACTTAGGAGAAAAAAAATCAATTTACATTTAATTTTACATTTATGTTAATGTAGTTATTTGGTTAGTTAACGGGGCTCCAACCCACGATCTTGTGGTCCGAAACGCTATGACACTACTGCCTTTGTGATCTCGACTATCGTATCGACCGTTCGGTTTTATTCACAATTACTATTTATTTTCTCATATCTTAACCGGTAGTCTCTAATAACTATAGAACTGTTTGTGGAATGCCTTCCTGCCACACTAATTCCGGTTGGTGCATTTGTAGCAGCGTTGTACTGTTGGCAGTGAAAAGTGCGTAGCATGCAGAAGCGAAGTCCCCCTCCCGTCTCCCAGAAGCGCGGTAGCCGCCTCGCTTGCGTTGAGTCAAGCCGCTCCTTGGCAGTTGTCGTTGAAGCTCCGGAGGAAAAATGTCGGCCCCTGGTAATTCGGATGCGCACAAAATAATATTTACTAAGAGTATACCAAATCTCCAGACTCTGAAGAAAAACTGCAAGATGTGGTGTCTGGTGTGTGGCAAGTATGCCTCTGAGCATCAGGGAATATGTAGGGCTAAAATTTCTCAGCCCCAACTTAAACAGGTACTTATATTACAGATCATGCAATGAATAGAGGTTTCTCAGCGTATTTGTCCTCTATCTGTGGAATAGTATACAAAATGATAAATACTTATTTCAGATGAACTAATTAATTAATTATATGTAATATATAATTAAATTGAAATTTATTCTCTTCGTAATATGATTCCTTGTTGTGGAAACATAAACACAAATTATTTTATTTCATTCAGTATTAATCTTTTTTATTATTTCTGTTATATATATATATAATTATATATATATATATATATATATATATAATATTATATAATATATATATATATATATAATATATATTTTATTACTTCGACAATTTCAAGCTATTTTAATTATTCATGTCCTTTGGATTTGTTATATACATATTTCAGTTGATTCAGAAAATGGGAATTGTCAGGGAAGCCTTTGGCTTCCAGACTGCAATTGTTCTTACATCAAGTGCTGCAAAATGTGATGTAGTGATTGAAATAAATTAAAAGTAAGTATCTTATGATATTAATAGTAAGTAATGAAAATGTTGGGGGAAGGTATTTATTATCTCACAAATAAAAAAAATTGTCTCATAAAAATATTGTCCTTATTTTTAGTGAAGAAATTCTCTCATGAAAACAAATATTGCTTAAAATTGTGAGAATGGAAAGAAGAAATTATTGATGCCATATTCCAGTGCCATGTATTGTGATCACATATTTACTGTACAGTAAATCAGAAAATTCAGAATGTGATGACTTGAAGAATTGAAGTCTTATCATTTATCTTGTTTCCTTTACTTCATTTTAACCCCTCACTGGAGAAATTATAACTTTCAGAACGTCATGCTTACATTGAAATATAAACAGTTTTTATTCATTTCTCTTAAAAATGCATACATCTGTAGACATCCTATTATAGTCACCTGTATAACAGAATTTACATGCAATTGTGCCTCTATATGTTCTCAAATTACATATTTTCATAGAATGGAATATTGAACAAACTTCTTGTCTTTGATGTACTGAAAGTATTCAATAAATTGGTACAGAAATTGGCTGGATGCTGTTTTTATTATTTACAATCATTCTTCTGTTTTCATTTCTATTGTAGGCTACTCTTCACCACTCTCTGTAATTGATATCAGGCTTAATCTGAAAATTATATTAAAACTCAGCTAGGGATTAGTAGTGAATAAGTCTCATATTAAACATTTATCTAATGGGAATCTAGTTTTCATTTTTTTTTCAGCTTCTTATAAGTTAAAGAAAGTAATGTTAAATTACTGTGATGACTACATTATAACTTGAGAATATTGGTTAAAAATCTTCGTATGGAATACCCCAAATTATTGAGTTACATTCTAAAAGAGTTTTTTTGTCTGCAGTAATTATCGATAATATTTTTCTGCCTTTCTGACTGAAAATAAAACAATTCGATACAAAGGATGTGAATTTGATAGAAGGAACTAGCAGACTTTTTGTCATGACCTAATATCATAATTGAGGCTGCTCTGAAAAAGTAAGTCAATATTATTAAATGTTCAAGAGAATTGGTCAAAATTCTGCAATATCTTGAAAATAATGAAATTATGGTATCAGTTTCTGCATGATGTTGATTTCATTTAATACTATTCATATTAACCAGTATTCATTTTAATTTCGTTATTTTCATTTTTGTTGTTGCAATTATCATTAGTTACTAATACTGATAATTAACAGTTTTAATCCTACTATTGATTCCCTGGAAATTTCAGCAAACCAACATTATTTTTTAATATCCAAGTGTCTGTATCTATGACATAAAGTTTATGAAAATCATAGAAAATTCTGCACATTAATTCAACATTTTTTAAAAATTGTTTTAATACAGAAGTTCTTTCTTTTCTACATTGTTGTCTATCAAGAAAAAAGAAAGTTTTGAATTATTACTATTATTATTATTTTTAAACTGCTATAAAATAAACATTAATAGGTTGTAGATAACACATTCTAAATTTTCCAATGAAATTTTTCTATTACACTGAGTTATCTTAGTATAGAAAGCATTACTATGTTTATCTAATCTAGCAAAGTTTTAAAAATAATTGTCACACTATGTATGAGTTTGAACAGTGACCAGATGTTTATGATGAATAATATTATTGTACGTTGAAAAATAGTATACAGAATTTTTAAAAAAATGTTCTTTTTCTGGCCTCAATGTGTTCGAATAAAATGTGATATCACTGATTTTGATTAAATAGAAGCAAGTTAAAAATGCAAGAGGTAATATTCTTAAAATAGTCTTAATAGGAAGTATATTATCTCATCATTTACCAGTATATTAGCTGTAATAGCTGCTTCCTCTATATTAGCTGTATGGTCAGAAGAGGGCTTTTTGTTTCTTTGTTAAAAGATACAGGTGATTAGAAATAAGGTGTGTTAAGATATTGTTGCAACAAGAGCTAAAGTAAATTTTTAGAAGTTTTCTTTGCATGGATATTACAGTCCATTTAATATGCTTTCTTTGATCCAATTTGATGAGCATTTATTTCTCCTATTAAAATACGTTTCTCTTCTACTTCCTTGGGGCTTGTTATTTTGATTTTTCAGAAATTATGTTTGAGTGCTTGGTTCTAAACTTATTTACCACAAGACTGAGGCTATAAACATTTTTAGGTGAAAATATAAATAAATATTTTTTTTAAACCTAGCTTACGTTTTGAACAAGTGCCAAATAGCAGTTTTAGTTAACCAAACCAATGGCCTAAAAATGAGTCAAAGTTAGGAAGAAGCAATTACACAAAATTGTAAGGTTTTAATTGTAGAATTATATTGTCTGTTAATAGAGGGGGAACTAGGAGGCCTACACAATTTTACTCAACAAATATTAATTACTTATTGAAGGAGGTCTGGTCTGCATTAACACAGTATTTTTGTAATTTGACTTAACTAGTTTTTAACAAAAACAATACCAATGCGCTCTGAAAATTATTACATAAAACAATTCTTCGTCGTAAGGAATTTCAAAAAGAATCTGAATTATCTTCTTTTTTGAATTAATACACAAGATGCATGAATATTTGCAATTAATTATAACTTTCCCCCAATCCGTTCTAATGAAAAATTATTTTTCTCATAATTATATATTATTAGCATCCTCTTCAAATTTAGACCTACTACTTAATGTATATCTAGTATAGCTAAATGTCTACAATTAATATTTGTGTATCAGGATAATGTGTGCAAATTGTAGTTCTCCCCCATACGTCACATACAGTTTTAACGTTTCTTTGACAAAATAAATCAAAACAAATCCACCTTGTAACTCCAATATTTGTACTCTTGTCTTGTTAACTTAAGAAACCAAGAGTTCAAGACAATAGAATATTCATAATATTTGTTATCTAATCCTATCAAAGCCTTGTTGGAAAGTATAAATACCATGAAATGCTCATTAAAAGCATCATGAAAATGATGTCTTATGGTTAGGTCCAAAGTTGGATGGAAAGGAAGGAAGTGTGGAGGTAAGAAAGGGATGAAATTAATCATTTACATATCATACCGCAGCCTGACAATGTAGTGATATTGGTTCTTAAGGGAAGAGAAATGAAACTTATGTTAAAAATGTTTAATAAATTCTTAGAGGAAAAGAAAGATGTATAGATATAAAAACAGAAGTGACTGATTTCTTGTTTTGATGATTCCGTGTACGTAAGTGGAGGAAGGTGGCAGTAATCTTTCCCTCGCTGTCTGGCGAGATCAGGTGCCGACCTACCGTCGGCTAGCGGGGCCTTCCCCAACCAGGTATCTCCCTCCACCGGGGTCCCACCCCAGTAGGGACAAGCTCTGAGCTCCCGACCGGACTCCCGGCATGTGTGCTTGTATAGTGCATGTGTGTGTGTAAGGGGAGAGCATAGGATAAGGAAGAGATAGGAAAGATCGCGCGCGGTACGTGGCGCGTTTGTTAGGATACTGGTCCGGCATTCGCCTGGTGTTAATCCTAGAAATCGCGGAAAACTACCGATCAGAGCAGCCGGTCGCTAGAATTCTCTTCCAGGCAGCGACTGAACTCGATATAAAAGCAGTACCTATCTGAAGAGGAGAGTAAAGTTATTTCAAGGGAAGGAGAGTTGCAGGAAGATGGACATTTTTATGGCGAGTTCACAAATCTAATCTGAGAGTTAAAGGAACTGGAAAATGTTTTGTGAGCAAATGAGATTGGGATGCATATAAAGGGGAATATTTGTGGAGGTGAACTGGATATAAGAGAAGTATCTGGAATAATAGAAACGTTTAATGTAGAAATGGATATCCCTTTGAACACTGGTTTTAATAGCATATTATTTCATTCTACTCAACCCCAGCTATTCTGTAATTTAATTAATGAATAATAGGTCATATGCTTATATAGGATATCTCCCCATACGCTCCCCTTTCAATGTAAATTCCTAAGAAATTTTTAATTCTAATTATAAGCACGGGCATTTATCACGTGTCTATAACTAATTCACTACTAAAATTCACACTTTTCCTCTTTCTTATTATCATCCTTCATTCCCACTAATTTCTCGTCATTTATATTTCTATTAGATGGCTATTGATGACCTCCATTGTTGCTCGTCAAAACATATTTTTCTATTAACATCTTTTTAATGAAGATTTGTTATTGCACTCTTATAACCTATCACTGTGTGGTTTGGAATACTGGGATCAGAGTACTGTAAGCCAGGGCAACTTTGTCACTTTTTACTTTTCCGTATGCGTTCGTATATCGTAGTTTAGGGAAAGTTATGTAATACTGCGGAAAGTCGATACCGTGATTTCAATGGAAATACACGTTTTGGGGTCCCCCGATACCGAAAAAGTGTTTTTTTTCGTCTGTGAACACCACTAGCGGCTAAACCATGGGAAGGATTTCATCAATTTGGAAAAACTCTTACGCATCTGTCTTGAGTCGAATCGTTGAGATTTTGAAAAACTTTCTTTTAAAGTTTGAGGGTGGAGTCTGTGCCATTCTGTAGCGCCACTAGTTTCACTTTCTCGTCTTACTACGCAAGTATAAAAGAGAAATCGGGGGCGTTTCCAGAGCCGAATTTCAGGAGGCGGAATTCAAAATGTTTAGGACGAATGTTTGATATAACAGATTTTGTAAAATGTTGCAGGCTAGACTCAGCTCATGCTGCTGGTACTGTACGGTTTTATTCCTTTTAATGACGTTGAAGATGAAGCGCAGTAAATTTGGAGCTGGCAATTCTGTTTCTCGCAAAATTACGCGTCAAATACTTATTTTCCAAAAATTGAACATGATCTTATGATAAGATCTGTTTTTGTGAACAGCTTGTGAAAAACGTGTATCTTTACAATTGTAATTGTAGGAAAACGATGAAAGTTTCTTAATTAAAAACAAAATGTTTGCAAAATCAATTTTAAGCATTGAAATAAGCACTCAAAAGTAGGTTTGAAAAAATAATTTATATGCAAAAATTTGCATTGAAGAAACATAGAAATACTCTAGAAACATGTAAACTCTTTATCATTTTCAAAAGAAATTTACATTCTTGTTCAGAAAGAAAAATTAACACAGGAATAAAAAAGCACACAATTTAAGCACAATTCAACTACTTTTCTTATTTCTGGGTTAATTTTTCTTGTATAATAAATATATTTCTTTCTTTTGCAATAATAAACAATTTAATATGTTTGTGGAGTGTTTATATGCTTCTGCAATGCAGAGTTTTGCCCTAAAGAAATTTTACATTTTTGGAAACCAACGTTTTTGAATGCTTAATCGGCTAACCATTCGGAAAATCCATTAGTTTTATTTTACAAAATGTGCTTAAATTTTATTTAGGAGCTTATTTGGCAAAGTTTTTCGCAGTTTCCTTCTCGACAATGTAACATGAGATAGAAGGGGTGAGTAACATTCAATGTAACATAATAAGCAAATAAATCACTTCTAACGTAGAAAAACCAGGTTAATGTGATCATCTTATCGTTTGTAACGTTTTAATTTAATTGCAACTTCATATATACATAGTCGTATGTGTACATAAGATTTCGTTTCTGTAACTCACTGAAGTAGGTACAGTGCGCAATGTAGGCCCTCTATGTTTGGCGTAAATAGGGAATGGCGTATTTCATTTCGAACTCACCACAATTTTCCTCTTTATAGACTGACACACTGAAAACCAGAGAAGCGCCACAGAATTTTAATATATGGTTTTAAATTTGAAAAGTGCTTTGAATGAAATAATTTGACAGTCTTAAAATTCTTTCCTTTATTACTTTCATCTGCAAGTGATCAGAATTAGGGAACCAATTGCAAATTTGGGATTGTTATTTCATAAGGTTTTACTCACCGCACCGTAAGACTTCATGGTGCACATCAGGAAATCCACACATTTGTCGTGTTTATTGTCACCCTCTGTAAATAATAATAATAATAATAATAATAATAATATCTGTATATAATAATAATTACGCCAGTAATTTTCTCAAAACAGGGTTAGCTGGCTTCAGACAGAAGCCACTTACCAAAATATCGCAGAAAATTGTTAAAAAATCTAACCAACGAGTACGAATAAATTACCAACTAATTTCTCAATTTTAAAATCATGTTAACAAGTAATTGTTTATTCGTCCCAGTAGAAGAAATAGTAGAGACTTTCTTACCGGTGGACAACAAAGGTCGTATTACTTGTAAATAGAACATATTTAATGAACATACATCTGAAGAATTAATTACTGCTTGCAATTGTTAATAAAAAGCCTTTAATCTTTAGGAGAATATCAAGACAATATGTAAAACAAAAATATATCATAAAAAGAATCATTCGGATAAATACAGAAATTATTTCAAAATATGCTTCTCTTTTAGTTAAGAAATAAACCTGTTTCAATTAATGACTTAACCTGGGAATATTCCTTGTGGAAAAATTCTTTGAATTATCTCTGAACTTGGTCGCAAATGGACGGACAGGCAGACGGCAGATCAATTTTTCGGTATCAAGGTCCCACAAAACGTGGATTCCGATTACATAATGTGTGAAAGGATATACTTTTCTACACATTGGATCACGATTTATTGACTTTGAAACGGCCCCACTATACGAGTTCTTCTGTCGAAAAATTGCGGCTTTTTGCGACAGCTTCAATTAATTATCTCTGTATATACGTACATACACGAGAAAATCAAAACGGGTTTATTTGATTATGAAATGTAATATTATATAATTACAGATATTATATTTTTTTATAATTACGTTTTTCTGAAATCTTGTTCTATGTTGGAGATGTAAGAATTCTGCTCTGTATATTTTTTTCCCTTTCTTTAATTTCTAGAATAGTACTTACTACAGTTCGATTGGCATTCTTTTGTTTCTTTTTGCCAACGTTCATCATCGATTGTCTTTCCCTCTTCAGCCATGCATTCAATTTCTTCTTTCATTGCTGCATTCAATTTGTCATCAACGAATTCCAATTTTTCATCCATCTGTTAGGAATGAAATGATATTTATGAATTATCACGAAATAATAACTAATAATTTTTTGTCTGCAATGCAAATTACTTTTTAGATAATATTACTGCAGTGAAATTAAATACGGAAATATTTTAATTTTATATCATTTATTAAATATTTCATATTGTTACGTCACTTGAATGATAATTAACTAAATTATTGCGAATATTTTTAATTACATATATTGTGGAACGTAATTTCGACAAAGGAGAACGAAGATGGATTAATTTATTTCATCAATAAAATAAATATTTCTTGATATTTTACAAACGTAACTGACTAGAAAGATAATTTTGAAGTTCCAGTTTCTAGCTTGCAAAAATAATTTTGTATGTACATTTCACTTCTCCATAAATGCTTCTCGCAGAGAAATATTAAGTTACAATGTAACAAGTACGGAAATCAGCACACACCCATGTTGCGTATACTAAGTTTTAGCACAGTAAAATGTATTTCGCACACACTTAGAGATGTTAGGCGCACGTGTAGCATACTAATAGATTGATTGGAAAAATAAGCTGTTGTGAAACGGAAAACAAGTTTTACGCACGATAAACTAGAAATTCTAGTTTATCCAAGATCGAGAGTTTGTGTCGACACAAAACAACCAAAATCGTCCAAAAAAATCATTCAGATCAAAAAATTTGAAAAAAATTATAAATATACTTTTAAAAGTCCAGTAGCAATAATAGTAGTTGCTTTTAGAGCTAAAAATTAAATTTTAGCAATAGTGCTAAAAGTGAGACATGCTCAAATGTTCGGTAAATGCAAACCAATGTTCACTATTTATTTCGCCTAAACGCTTCATTGAAAAGGTGTTTAATTTTGTGTACTTAAAATACAATTCATGCTCTTTCCAAAATGTTGATATTCCGATAAAGTCACGTAGAACCCAATTATGTGATTTATATACTTGAATTCTAGTAAAATTAAATTTAATTAATAAAATTAAATTTAATCGTCTTTAATACATGCTCTAATTTCTTACTATTCTGTTTTAACCTACCTACCATGTTTAAATATACTTCGCAATGAAGTATGATCTCACGGAGAAAAATTGTATATTTTGTTACTGGTGTACGAGTATAATCTTAAGCCTTATTAAATAAGTAGCCTAGATGTTTTGACAACGAGCGATGGTAGGAGCGAGTTTTCAAATGTGTACTAATGCAATAAAGTAGAATTTTAAACGAGTGACATATTAATATAAAATGTTCTTATACAAAAAATTACTATGAGATGCTAATTTTTGGAAAAAATGTTACTATGACGTCGCGAAAAAAATGGTGGTCGGCCGTGCGGTTGATCGCCATTACCTCACTTTGCGATTGGCTGAATGTGTGATGATGCAATTATTCTTGCTACAGACATCTAACACGTTGTAATCTATGAATAGCATTTTATGAATGGATTTTGCAATGAAAATAGCTGTTTGTAATACAAGTAAAGAAGGAAGTCTTTTCTGCACAGTTTTTTAAATCTTTCAAGAAGAGACAAACTCCACTCATGCGCCAATGTACAGAACATACATATCTATAATTTTACACGACCACAGAAAAAATATTTGTAATTTTCATGCAAATTTGACCTGAGTGTTAAGGTGGAACAGAGTATATTTAAGAACAGCGTAAATTAAAATTAAACCGCGATTAAATTAATTAAAAATTATAATTGAGAAAGTATGCCAGCGTCTTTAGATGGGTTCGTTCATTACGCTTCGTGATGTCACGGACGTAAAGTGGACGTTAAAAGAATCCCGAGACTCGCGGGTTTCTAGTTGAGTGACCGGCTAGGAACCCCGGGATCTAATGGCGTCGAGCTCCCCGACTGAAGGGACATTATTTAATTCGTTAAGACTGAAAACGTGAGAATCTTTTTTGGTAAGACAAGTCTGTGGGAATCATGATTTACACCAGACTGCAGTTCCCTTGGCTGAAATATTACTTCGTATTTTTCAACATTTACATACACGTTTAAAATAAGACAAATAGCATTACTACGTAGTTTTATTTGTTAATGGAAGGATCTGATTTAGATGATTTACTTCCCGTAGGGATCATAGATTAGATGGTAATTATAGTTATACTTACAATTCCGTAGGCATCAAAAACGCATACAGCAAACTCCTGAAAAATAAAATAAATTGTGAGTGTTGATTTTTCTAAACACTCTGAGAAAGTGAATATTGTCAGTCAATTACCTTTTCATTTTCTGTGACGTCTTCAGGTTTTTGCTTTCCAAATACCTCTGAAAATGGAACAAATTAGTATTTTAATTTTTCGGCAAACTGGTGCAATATATTATTTACCACATATGAAGGGTAAATGGAGCTACATGTATGTTAGAATACTGAGAAGCTACGTCACACGCTCATAAATTCTTGGCTAAATATTTCTGTAGTTTATTCTACCAGGAAAGCATGGTTGGAGCATTTGAAACGGTGGATTTCAAATCCACCTAAGTCAAGTTATGACTTTTTTCAGGATAGCAATAAAACAATAATTTGTTTGAATAATTATTATGTTATAAAACGTCAGACATAATTTCATACAAATAAAATACACTCGGTTGAAGTTAATACCCTACTACTTACGGGATTACAATTTTGAATAATTGCACTAAGTCAAGACTTTTGGCGTGAAATACGTTTCAATATACTCACTATTTAAATAATACGATTACGAATAATGTGATTATTGAATGCATTGATATTTACTAAACATTGTGAATATTGATTGTATACACAGTTTATAGAATTTGGAACGTATTTACAAAAAATCTGATATGGGTGTGATTTAACATTCTTGCGTTAGCCATTAAGATTGTGCCTTTAAGATATGCATATTTTTACAAACGATTGTTAAGTGAGAAGTTGTAAAATATCTTAGTGCACTATAACAAAGGTGCAACAGGTTATTTTCAATAGATGGCAATAAATAGTTTACATTCGTTTTGTATATTTTCTTTTAATACTTAAAATGTTTCTAACAAATAATGTACTTCAGCTTCCGGGTCAATGATCCCCATCTCGATAAGATTTTTGTCCAGTTTCTCTGATCCATTGAGCAAATGCTGAGATGGCCCCTTCTTTTGCTTCAGGACGTAAAGCAGCTTCACTAAGCGCAACTCTGCGTTTGCTTGTACGAATAGTGGTAGGAGTAGAAGTACGGGCCAGTTACTATTTTGTTAGTAAAGCTGAAAAATCATATCTGCAATTCGTTTTCCGATGCAAATAAGTTTTCTAAGGGAAATAAAATGTTTTTTTATATTGCTAATCTCGCGCGTTTTTTAATTTTATTTTTTTATCTTTGGCCTTTACTCATCTTTCAAATAGAAAACGTGTGCAGCTGATCTTCTCCCACACACGTCACATAGTTTTTACAATTTTTATTTTTATTTTGACTAAATAAATCAAAATCCAAGAGAATCTACCGTGAGGTCAACTGAGGCCATGCAAACAGTGACATGGATTCTGATGAAATTTTGTTGTTGGATAGTCCGCAAGACGTTTAAGAGAATGGTGCTGGTCTCATGTTGATTTGAAATCCTGATTTGTCACAAATTGACAAATAAATCGGCCTCTTCCTTTGACTACAATTATGAAGAGTAATTTTTTGAAAAGTGTTAAAACATTCCAGCCTATTATTGAATAGCTTTCTTAATGTTCGAGTAAGAAATATGAGCGTTGACATCTCTGATATGCTCAAAGGCTGCGTAGTTATCTTTCTAATCACGCATTAGAAATGAATCATGAATATTAGATCATAATGTACGAGCAACATACTAAAATCATTTTTTACATATTTGTTATAAAATATTATCGATTATTCAGGTAAGAGTAGGGATATTTATATATATATTGCGATGTCACTGATGTAACTACAGTACCTCAGACCTCTCGAGTTCGAGGCTTCACTGTGCCCGAATTTTCGGCACTAGCTTGTTCGAGTTCTGGCCCTGTCCTGGGGAGGATTCTAGCGGTCGGCTACTCTGGTCGGTAGTTTTCCGTGATTTTTCGATGAATACCAGGTGAATTCCTTAGCAGTACCCTGCCAAACGGGCCATGATCCGCATGCAATATTTCCTTCCCATCCCTTACTACACTACACTACACTAGCACAGGAGACCGGACGGGAGCATAGACTTTGTCCCAGCTGGTGGGTGGGAGATGTGTGGTTGGAGAAATCCGTACTAGATGACGGTAGGTCGGCGCCGGATCTCACCATCCAGCGAGGGAAGATCACCGCCACACCCCAAACATAGTACTACACTTACGGGATTAATGGACTTTGCCGGTGACACGCCCTTAATCACCAGTAACCAATGTATCATTGGCAACATTGAACTAGTTAAACGTTGACTATGTTGCTTTGAGTGCAAACCTATTCTTTTCTTCATCAGACTCTGAAAAAAGTCTCTAACGTGTCTATGAGCAGGTCTTTGTAAGAGGACACCGGAGTTTCAACGAAACTATTTCCATTGTCGATGGTTTCGAATTTCTCTTGAAACGTCTGGGAAGGCGAAACTGTCTCTCGGGTTTCAGAAAGGCTCTAATAACAAAAATTCCACACGATGAAACCTTACATAGATATAGTCCGAAAAAAGAACAGTTGCAGTATACTAGATCCATGATACTGTAACAAGTTCCTTTGTTACAGAATTATGGATCTGGTATACTGCAACTGTTTTTTATTATTGTGTGTGTGTGTGTGTGTGTGTGTACTCTTGGGATGCCATAGTTCTTTCGTTCACACCTCTCCCCGTTAAAAGTCGAGGTGGCTGAATTTATCCACACAGATGGAAACAATAGATGTCACTTCGGGAGGGGAGGTCGTTTACCTGCCTTCCCTCTTAATATTTCGATGCCCCCCGACCAGGAGCGGTGGCTCAGGCCAAGAACTGGTCACTGCAATGTCTCTGTCTGTAAGGTCCTAGGTTCGAGACCCCATGGTCGCAGGATTTTTGAGCAACCGTGAGATTTCGAGCTAGGCCGGTGCTGTAGCTAGATAGCACGCCGAAACTAGCTTAATTGCTTGAAATCTCCGGCGGCCGAGAAGAATTCTAGCGGGCGGCTGCTCAGATCGTGAGTTTTCCGCTGTTTCTTCGATAAACATCAGGTGAATGCTGGAGCAGTACACAAATAAACGGTTCTTTCATTCATTTCTCCCCTTACTTAACCGTTCAAGCTATTTATATTTACTACACTACCACACATGCTGGGAGACCGGTCAGGAGCTAAACCGTGTCATAACTTAGGCGGTGCCCTGCAGGTGCGATACCTAGAGGACGAGTACGAAAATCCCGCCAACCGACAGATAGGATCTCACCATCAGGCAGGGGAAGATCACCGCCACCCTACGAGGAAGAAATGCACTGCTCTGAAAGCTGGATTTACACTTGAAAGAAAATGGCGAGCAATATTATTTCGCAAGATATAATATTTCTGATATTGGCAATATTTATTGCTAGATATTCCGGTCGTGATGTAAACCCCCGTGTTTCCACTCTCTAAATGATATTGCCGGCTGTTGCTGGGACTAGAACTGGAATGAAGTATGAGCAAGAGATTGTTGGAAGAAACCTATGTTGACCACTGTCACATGTGCAGGATGTATGTACGGTAGTACACAGACGTAATATTTCCATTTTAATATGCATTTTTTTCGTAAAATGGATGTATGAAAAAAGTTTGCGACAATAAAAGAAGTAATAAATATTTCCTCTATGGTTGATTATTAAACGTTCAAATTTTGGTTCAGTTATAGATTCCCCCAGATTATTAATTTTTTACGTTAAAAATTATTAAGATATTAATCTAATCTAAATTAATTTTAAGATGACTCTATAGCACATCAATAGTAGGAAATGAATATTTTAGAACCTTTTAATAAATTAGTAATTGTACTTTTTATTAAAATAAAATTACTTTGCTCCTACGGGAATCAAAATCCACGAAATCATTTTGTCTTAAGAAAAATATTCAGACACTTCTACCTAATTCGCACAAGCCCCTTTTTCCTTTCATCTTAAAATTCAGTCACATGTACTCACAAAACGTCGGCGTTACGTCATCTCCCAATTTAGCACAATAAGTGCCACCGCAACTAGCATCTTTTGCCTTCCACTAATTATGTCGAGGAGTGAGGTATAACCTCACTGAATGGTATGCGCCATTTTCCTCGCGCTGTGCCAAACATGGAAACAAATGATCCTAATTTAAAGCGATCGGCCATATCTTGCCGGAAAGATCTTGCTCAGACCTTTCTGACAATATATTGCCCATACTGGCACTTGCTAGTGTAAAGATGATCGCAATAAGCTCAAACAAATTGCTGAAAGATATTGCGGAAACGTATTGCTAAAGTAAGGCCAGCCTAAGGGACTAATGACCGTAGCTGTTGTCGCACTCGAGATCCCCTGTCAATCAATCAATCGGCGCTCATCACCCATTCCTGTCGAACATTTTTCTCAGTGATGTCGATAGTTCGTCTCCAATATTGGGCTTCGTATGAGATATTGTGAGAAAATTACATTTGTGTAATTTTTGAAACAACAACAAAAGAATACAGCAAATTAATTTGGGTGATGGCGTAACAATTAGCGTATGTATAGACTGGTAGCGACTGGTATACCCAAGTTGGCGGGTTCAAACCCGATCGAAGCGGTGGATTTTTAAGGGCGAAAAAATCCTTCGTACGCCTTCCTTCGGAGGGGACGTAAAGCCGGCTGTCACTTGTTACTTTTTTACTTGCATGTAAAAGATCCTCGAGCCTAAATGACGCCTCTGAGCTAAATTCAAATCGCCTGTTTCTCGCCCAAGAAATACCTTCTTCCTCTGGTAGTTGGCGAAAGGAGCGTAGAGAAATTTGCGTGGTCAGACGGAAGAGCGGACCTGATGGCCCGAGTCTCACCACGTAAAATAAGGCATCAATTCAATTCAATTCAATAAATTTAATTCCATGTTAAGCAATTCAATTAGTACTATACGTACGAAAGTTTTAATGGAAAATTTAGAGCCGTTATTGAGAGTATGGCGTTTGAGCGTTTCTGAAAATGCGGAAATTTAAGCGAATTTTCACAGAAAACTTTTGAGACTTTGAGAAAGTTTGTAAGACGTTACTTAAAGCAAGTGTATAAATGCTATAAAGTGAACAAATTGCCGCTTATGTAAATATTAACGGGTTGAGGGACCCCAAGAAAATTACATTTATAATAGAGCAGAATGACGTTTATATTCTCTTATAGAGCACATTTAGCACTATCCCTGCCACAATTTTAAAGAAAAACTCTCGAGTAGTTTTAGAAAAAATCTTGTTTTTGTTATTTTTTATTATTGCACATATTGCAAGCAACATTGCACGAAAATGACTAAAACTGTTTCATGACTATGACTGAATCCCGACGTTTTTATGAAACTTCAACTCTAAAGCTTCTAATCAACAGAGTTGTACATGGTTAAGCCATCCATACCGATTTTTTGGGTACAAATTTGCGTGTGTTTCCTTTCCACCGATCATAGTCATCATAGAACAGTGCTAATAGATTTTATTCCTAAGGTGTGCGGAGAGAGAGTTATGGTGCAAAAGATTTTTAAGCACTGATTTTATAACCGAAAATTCGAGAAATTGTTGAGGCTATTCCAATATTTTCCTTCCCTGTACGTAGTTGCGGGAGGAAAAATAAATTTTGGTATAGTTGCCACATTGAAAATTAGAGATGTGACTTCGTGAGCGATGAGAGTTACAAGTTGGACATTGCTATGTAAGTAACATATGAGACAAGTTTTGGAATACTGAGGAAATACAGTTGCGGATTTACTCGATTTTGTCAATGCACTTGGTCTAATAATTCGAATTCTTTTTACTTCTTCGTTTACATACGTATAAGCGGAGTAGTATACGTAGAATAGGAAAGTTACGTAATACTGTGGAAAGTCGATTTTGAACTTTCAACGGATATGCACATTTTAGGGTCCCCTGAAATAGGGTACCGAGAAAGTGGTTCCTTTACAAAATGTCCGTTCGTCTATCTATGGCTTCAAATATTTTCTTTAAATTTTTTGTGATAACCTAGTAAAATACACTTATAAAGGTGGAATATGACCGATTTTAACGGTTAATTCTGAATTTTTGAAAATTTTATATATTTGAATATTTTTCGAGGTCTTACTACAACTACCAAAATAAATTTCCTTTAAATGAAATTTATTGTCCATAATTTTCTTTCATTAAGATCATGTACATTTGTTTGAAAATTTTAGTACTTTTCTCTAAATATTGCGTGCAATTTATGCAATTTTAAAAAATTTCAAAAACGGCGCCAAATATATTCTTTAACCTTTTGGTAGGGATTGTGCTAAATTCACTCTATTAAATGACAAAAAACTTCATTATTGCTCTATTCTTCTGTTGTTCCTTAAATTACAAAAATATTTTTTTTTACTTTTTTGTTTTCTTGATTGTTAACTATTTCTCACGTCATTAATATTTACGATATCGGCAATTTTTTCACATCATTATATTTATGAGTACATGAGCTTTAAATAGTGTTATATAAAGCTTCTGAAAAACTATACCGTTTTCTGTCAAACTAGCTCAAACTTTTGCAATTTCACGCCATTTTATTAAAAAGGTCTACACTTTTTTTTCAAACTTTTTGAAAGAATAGTGCTAATAGATGTCTAATATGAGGTAAAGTTCATTTCGGTGTGCATTTTTGTTTTTTCAAAAATTACACAAATGTTATATTTTTAAGATTTCTCGTGCCGATATTATGCACATTTCCATCAATTTTTAAAAGCTATTGTATTTGTGAGTTGAAGTACTTCAAATGACTGCAAATGTAGTTCTTCGAAACCTTAGAACTTTTCTGTAGAAAAGTTCTTTAAATTTACTGTAGCGCTTAAGCACCATTTTCTTTAAATTTTTCAAAGAAAATTCTCATTTAGGACGAAGTTTTACTGTTCTGTAATATTCTTAAAAGTATATTCCTGTTCTACCATTAGGAATCCAGAATATAAGAAAAATGAAAAAAAGAATTTTGGCAGCAATAGATGGCAACAGCCAAGTATGAGGCAAGTTCGAATAGCTAGCCGAGACCAAAGTAAATTGAAAACTAATATATGAACGTCAGTGCCATTCTGCAGTACAACTAGTTAAAAATAATTATGCATAACTGCTGCAAAAGTGGTGAGTTTATATCTCACATTTATTTAAACCAAGCAAAGTATACAAGATGTATATGTACATATAATTATATTTTAATTTTCTCGATTTATTGTTGAAATTTTGAATGAGAAATGTTTTTAAAGTTATTAGAGTCCCATCTGCTTTATTGTTTTAAATTCTATTATTTTCTCAGTAATATTCGTTTCGCTGAATCATTTTCGTTCGTGTATATTTATCCCCAGATGAGACATTTAAGAAATAGTCTGTAATTCAATGATATTCTTGAAAGCTTATTGGTCAATCGAAATACATGGTTCTAACTTTTTATCTTTGTATACAATCGTTCTAACCTTTTTATCTTTGTATGAAACTAATGTTACGTAACAATGTATTATAATTATAATAGCATTTCTTGCATATTAGTAGCCATACATACTGTCTCCTTCAGGCCATTTATTCTTGCAGTCTTCACAGATTTTCTGGAAATTTTCCGTGCACTGTAAACAGACAGATCTAGGTGAGAGCCAGCATAACGTTGAACCAAACATAAATATTTGCTGAATTGATTTATATGTAAAATACGTTTATTTTACAATCAAAATGTCTAAAATTAATTTTGAAGCGAAAAGACTTGTACTTGCGTGTTACTATGGAACATTTTAAACTCTTGTGTGAAGCAACTGAAGGTCCTATTAATCAGTGGGACAAGCGGCACTTAACAAATTGTGTAGGGAAGGCAATGAAAGATAATATTAATATCCTACTGCTATTTAATCTACTCGTGAAAAATTAGGGTGTTTCTTTGATCTATTTAACGCGGTTTTACGAGAAAGATTGCACCAATGACTAAGTATCAAACAGTTTACAAGTAATAAAACAACGCAAATTGATTATTTCGTGTGTCCCGGTGCGCCAACTAGTGAGTCGCTCATTAGTCGCTTGAGTGTAGTACATGTTTAATGATGAAGTGCCGGTTATCTTCCCCTGCTATATAGTGAGAACCGACGGGGAACTACACCCTGAGTTGCGGGGTTTTCCCCAACCAGGTATCTTTCACCAGCGATGCACCGCCCCAGACAGGAGTAGCTCTAAATTCTCGACGTATGTAATAGTGTAATTCATGAAAGTGTGAATGTGTGTAAATAAGGGTTGAGGTTTGCACAAAGGAGAAGAGGGAAATTTCACGCGCAGATCGTGGCCCGTTTGGCAGAAAAAAACTTACTTCAGGGCCCTGGTAAGAAAAAAGGGATAAATCTAGTTGCTAAATTTCGAAAAAAATCTAACACGTGGTATAGTCAGAAACAATGTTTTGTAGGACCTTGATACCAAAAAATCGAACGACGGCAAAAGTCTGTTTGCCTGTTACAACGATAGCGTCTAAACCGTTCTGCCGATTTTCTCCAAAACCCATATTTCTCAATCGATCTGGCTGATGTGTCAGCCTCTTGGATTTGAAACCGATATTATTATATTTTTGGGAGATATTTTACATGAAGTCCTTGGAAGATTTTCCAAATAAAAAAATTGCTTCATTGTTTTTTATTAAAATTTGGTTCGTAGCGTGATGAAAGTTTAAGAGAATCGTGCAGGTTTCATGTTCATTAAAGACCCTAATTTTTCAAAAATTACAAAAGTTCAACATTTTTTGCGGAATGTACCTGCAACTACAATATTAAAGATAAAGAATGTTTACCTTAATGAAATCTTTTCCTTAAAGATTAATTTTGAAAAGAGGTCTTGTATAATGTTTCGAAAATGTGAATAATGGTTGGTTTTATGTGAATAACGTGAATAATTTTTGGTTAATTTTGTGTGAAAATACGAGAGAGAAGGTACGTGCTGTTCTAGCACCACTACGTAATGTCAGATTGAAATTCTCACTTTTTTTAATAAATAGTGACAAGACTTCAGAGCCTACTTGGTAACACTTGGTCTACAATTCAATTTCAGTGCCATGCGCAAATCCTCAGATCAGATTATTGTTCCATGCTTACCCAAGTTGCCGACTTCTCTTACGATCTTTATTTGACTAGAAAAGTCATTCTGTGTTAAGCATTTTAATGAGGATTTTAACTCTAATGCTATGAACTTCCGTGGTGGTAGATATATTGTCGTAATCTATAATGTGATAAAGGATTCTTTTTCACATCCAATGCTATTCTTTTGGCTATCTTTCATTCAAAAATATTTTTGACACACGCTCGGGAATTTACCTTGGAGTACAACGTAAAACATGTAAAATGTAAGGTGCGGAAAGCCACATATAACATATATAACATTCTTGTTTGTTTGAAAGATCAATGTTGTTAGAGCCAGACGAGTTTGCTTTAAAATCAAAATATTACCAAAATAATATTTGTTGAACTAATATTGCATACTATGTTTTGCAGTTGTCGCCTTTTGAAAACCTTTGATTCAAAGTTAATAAAACAGGAAGTATCTAATTGTAAGAATAAGAATGTCAATTTGATGTCAAATTTAACATTATCGCTAACTAAACAGAGTAATGAGAACAATTATATAAACAAATGTGTTGGTTACCATCTTATTTACTATTAGTTATCGAAAGATGTCTAAACTGAGCACCGTAGTAACTAGTAGAAACATAGTTATAAATTAGAGAGATGGCAATATTTTAATACAGAGTTTTTGCACTGAATCGAAACGGCTAACGTGAACGTTGATAATTAATGTAACGTCAAATCTTGTGTGAGGCTCAAAGAACGAATTTTTGCACAACGCTTACGGTTACACCTGTGAGGTGCTGACATCTGGTTCTAAAAGTATTGTTACACATAAGATTAACGACTTTTCAATTTTGGGTATCGATTTTTCCATTTTGTATATTGTGGTTTCGATTAAGTTCTGCGATTATTTACATCGTAATCATTTTTTCCGGATAAACAACGCCGAGAAGTGATTGCAAAGTGTGGTTTGCATGTTTACTTTTTTTACTCTCTGGATGTGTTGTTCCGTGCGACGAAAGAATTAAGCCTAATTGAACATGTGTACTTAGGTACATTGATATGGACAATATAGAAGAACTAATTCTGCTTTAAATATTAGAACCAAATCGACCTGAAATTACAATGTCTATAAAATTTTCAACGTTAAATTGCTTCTTATTTTAAAGGGCTTTCCCATTTGCAGAACCACAAGAATTTCAATACTCCTGCTCTTTTGCTTCCATCGTCGTACAGAGTGAAAGCCAATACTTCCTTCAATGGTATATATAATATTTTGCAGAAAACCGCAGTCGGCCTTTCTCAAAACACTGTATTTGTATGTTATTGAGATCCACATTATTATAACCATCGACTAAGTTGTAAGCGGACCGTGCACGGTTGTGAAGCTTCGCTTACCGAACGCTACAGTTGTTACAGAGGCCGTGATTGGTGTTTCCGACGTCACGTGAAAGTAGCCGGTTCCGCTTATGTATAAACGTCAATGTGCGAAAACTCTGTAATGTTAATGTCAAAGTTACGGTGTTTCTGACGCCAGATGTGTTCTTACCCCTGGTCTTTTAGAAGCCTCGGTTCCCAAGACCAAAGCGACAGCGACAAATATCACAGCTTTCCTCATGATTGCAAAGTAGCTACTAGACTCTACCTGGAAAATACCAAAAATATATAGGAGCATATCTGTCTCGTAAGTGACGTAGATCAGGTTAAAACAGAACAAAAAATACAGGTTGTATAATAGGTTGTGTGAGATATGTTTCTCTATTATCATTTGCATGTGAGTACAATGCATTCACTTCCTTCCTGTTATGGAGGGGCTTGTACAATAATAATAGACAGGATTTGGAGGCGGAGTTTAACTTTTCTGACAAAAGACAAGGTTGCGTATTTTTGATGGTCACGTGTCCAAGATGCTTACGGAAATGGGATGGGACATCGCAATACCGAATAAAACAAAATGACGAATAAAACTATAAGAATGTTTTGAAATTATGGTCGGACAATATTTTTAGTTTTGATTTTAATGAGCTCAGTCATAACTTTCACTAAATTCACATTTAGTGTATGAATTGACTTTCAAATTCTCTTAAACGTCTTATATACAAATCTAATCTATGCAGTAAAAGCATATCTAATGCTGCAAAAATCGAAATCAAGATTTTAATGAAACCGGAACCTATACCATTTGTATAGCGTACATTATTCAGAACAAAATTGAATTTTGACAATTTTTTTGAAAAAAAATAAAAAGTTTGTGAAGGTTCCTGTAAAGTGCCCGTGAAATTAAAACAACTATTTTAAATTCAAAGGACCGCGATATAGGCTAGATCAATTGCAGAATATGTTTTGGCGAAACATTTCTGAACAATTTATGTTCAGGTTGACTACAGTCAGCCGTTTTAATGTTCCGTGAGCCGTTCATTGTCATTGGTCCACAAAATGTGGGTTCAGACTACACTGCTTATTCCATAAATTAAATAGCGGAAGAAACAAATAGGTTTTCTGTATAAGGGACCTCCAAAACGAGTTAGTCAGTGGAAAAATTGGCCTTTTTCCCACCATTTTAAAATACTCAATTGCGTACAAGCAAGTAAGAGAACCAAAAAAAAAAATATTTTTTTCGAATTTTTTTTTCCTCATAGAGAGCAAAAATCTTGAGAGAGTGATGTGGGTATGGTGATACGACATTTTCATCAATTCATCAGAAACTTCAAAAGTTCCTGAAGTTCGATTTGATTTCCAAGGTTTTCTGCTTGTTTATTTATTTCAAAACCTTTATTAATTGCCAAGTACTTTTGTGGCGAAAACACAACTACTCATTATAAATATGTTTTTTCTGATTATTTTGGGCTCCCTCTGCTCCTACTACCTCACAACGCACTCAGCCCATTATTTCTTCGATTCGGTTCATCTTAATGACACTCCCATACTGGATATGCTTTTGCACTGGCTGATGTACAATTTATTTATCTATTTATTTTAATGTTTTAATGGTGTTTTGATGGTCAAAATGATGAGACTTCAATGTTTTATATATCGAGTGATAGTGTTTCATTGTAATTGTATCATTTACTTTTTTTACGTCAGTAACTTGTTATTTAGATTCTTCAAAATTATAGTTTTCTCTTATATTAATTGTAGCCTGAGGTTCGTGAAAATTCATGACACCAAAATGTCGCTCAAAAAGCTACGATTAACAAAAAATATAACTTTAAAGTTTATTATGTGATTCGGCGGTGTTATTTTAATCATTGTCTATGAACTAGTCTGTCAAAGAAAATTTTGTGGCCAAACTCGTCTAATATGCGTGAATAGCGATAGTACAGACATTTTGCTGTTTTCGTGTAGTACATTTTCATTTCCCTGTGGTTTAAAAGTATGCAAGAGAAACTTTTCATTTTGCACAACCACATAACACCACTCTGCGTAAGTGGTATACCTCAGTAGAAGGCAACTCAGGATTCACCTCAGAAGCATTTACAGCTATTAAAAGCAGAATTAAGTGAACGTAGTGTAACGAAATGAGTGCGGTCCCGCCCGCAAAACTTTTACCCGGGCTCCCTTTGTAAAAGTGTATAGAAATCACAAGTAGTGTAACTACGTTGAATAATAAAAATATCGTTAAACGAATTCGTATTCATCTGTCTATGATTACTACATAAGAAATCAATGATATTCACAGTTTATATTTTTATTAATAAAATATCATTATTATTATTATTATTATTTATATTTCGTTCACATGACATTTTCATTTTCCAAATATTGTTCTGAAGTGCTGTATTAAAAGACAAATTGAAACTGTTCTTACCATTGTCGAATTTTCCTTCTTAATCTTAGTGTGTATAACCAAGTTGATTAACTAGCAGGAAAATGTGTAATAACATAAGTATCTATAAAACATCGAGTGACGCTCAGTATTCATTCCTGGAATTGGAATAATGATTTACATGATTTAGGCGAAGTAGATTTTACCCTAAGATACCTATTCAACAAATCCACTATTGAGGAGTTAGTATTTCTAATACGTTTTCAATTATTCTCAGTTACTGGCAGAAATCATGACCTTTGAGCAGCTTAAAAAGTTTTAGCTGATGTTGGGTCCTACGCATTTGGCTGACACAAAATAAAAATAGAAATTCACATCAATTCAGTCAGCGTTTCGCCTGTTGTGCTATAAACAATCTATCCAAGAGCCTGCCGGAATTACGTTCTCGATTCGCACTGTAAGAACCAAAAAACTGGTACACCACCCTAATATCGTGTAGAGCTCCGCAAGCACACAGAAGTTACACAACAGGATGTGGCAAAACTCGGCTGTCTGATGTTGCACTGGAGATTATTGACACCATTAATCCTGCAGGGCTGTTCTTTAACTCTTAAATCTCTTCTGAACAGCACGTTGCAAGGCATCCCAGATATTGCTTAAAAATATTCATGTCTGGGGATTTTGGTAGTCAGTGGAAGCGTTTAAATCCAGAAGATCCGTTTAAATCCGTTATTGGAGTCACTCTGTAGAAATTCTGGACATGTGGGTTGTAGCATTGTTCTGCTGGATATGCCCAAGACCGTCAGGAAGCACAATTGACATGAATGGGTGCAGGTGATCAGACAGGATGCTTACGTACGTGTCCCCTGTCACAGTCGTATCTAGACGTATCAGAGATCCCATATCACTCCAACTGCACACGCCCCATACCATCACAGAGCCTTCACCAGCTTTGAACAGTCCCCTGTTGGCATGCAGAGTCCATGCGTTTATGAGGTTGTTGCCATACTTTTACACATTCATCCGCTCAAAACAATGCGAAGCAAGACTTGACAGACCAGGCAACGTAGTTCCAGTCATCAATAGTCCAATGTCGGTGTTGACGTGCTCAGACGAGACGTAAAGCTTTGTGACGAGCAGTCATCAAGGGTTCTCTTCGGCTCCAAAACACCATATCGATAATGTCTCGTTAAATGGTTCGCACGCTGACACTAGTTGAATGACCAGCATTGAAATCTGCAGCAATTTGCGGAAGTGTTGCACTTCTATCACGTGTAATGATTCTCCTTAGTCGTCGATAATCTCGTTCTTGCACGATCTGTTCGCGGCCGCAGCGACTACGGAGGTTTGATGTTTTACTGGATCCCCAAAGTTCACGGTACACTCGTGAAATGGTCATACGGGAAAATCCAAATTTCATCGCGACCTCGAAGATGCTACGCCCCATCTCTCTTGCGCCGACTATAACACCCCGTTCAATTTCACTTAAATCGTGATAACCTGCCAATGTAGCAGCAGTAACCGATCTAACAACTATGCAAGACCCTGGTTGTCTTACATAATCGTTGTCGGCCGCTGTGCCGTATTCTGTGTGGTTCTGTCTGAACTTTATTTCCGTACGCGTGGCTGTACCAGGTTTATTGGCCTTTGGGTGTATTTATCTTCTACAATCAGAAGCAGAGTGTAAGTGAGATTTACATATTTGTTTATTTTGTTGTTTGCCACTTAATTTAATTTTAATGAGGACACACACTAATGAACATTTAAAAGTACAGTAATGTTAAAATGTTTGTTTCCAAAGAATAGTCTGAGTAATTTTAACCCTTGACATCCGACATTTGATTTTGACTAATTGAGAAATGAATAATTTTAACAAGTGAAATTATCATTAATTTAATTATTCTTTCATTTCAGATCAGTCAAAAGCTTTACTGCAATCCTGCACAACGCCTGCTCCCGAGGGAATTCTGCACTTACGAGCCGACCATCTGTCCGCGAGAGCGCAAAATGTGCAAGTGGTGGGGGTAGGAAGCTTTTCGGGGAGGGGAGAAGACTGGCGTTGCACGACGCGGCGCGTAGATTGAATGCTGGGGCGGCTAATGCTAATCCATGCTGTGAAATCATTTTCCCAGTTACTGAAATGGATGATGTCCCATATTTTAAGCTATAAGGACCATAATTCTTCTGTGTACTGCTGCATATCCCCCACTGTATGTATTTTTTAGTTGATGCTCATTGTGACTTAAACAATATTTTATAATAATGGTCATTTAAAAAATATATATTATTTCATTCTATGGAATTACAACTTTAATTTAATAATTGCTTATTCGCCAAGAATGTGATCTTCAAATGATAGCAAAATGAAAATTATCAGAGGAATCTCTCACATCATGATGGACATAAAGAAATATAATCAATTGCAAGAAGGGAAATACTTAGCAGCACATATATTAGCAGCCATTTTCCCCCATTAAGAATCTGTTCATAAATAAATTTTATGAATAAAAGATATCAACGAGTAAGTCTCTCTGTTGGTATGTTACGGGCAATCATTAGATGGGTCTTTTTAAATAGAATGCACTGGGCTTAATATTTTTATACGATGTCGTAAATGATAAATACTGTTCGTTAATTTAGAAATAGAATGTCACATTTAAATTGACAACTTGAAATAACTCAAAAAATACGCGATGTACGAAAAACCTGTTCCGAGACAAAATATTAACAGTCTTGAAGGAGGAATCATTCTATGTTAAAATCTGCACCCCCTCTGCCCCCAGTGGTTGGTGCGGTGGACAACATTGAAATCTTAAATAGGAACCCCATTTTTTTTAAATTTCAGATACGGATTTTACAGACAAAATACAGAAGTTTTG